CGCAAGTGACTAAGCATAGGCCAGAGATTCGCAAGTGACTAAGCATAGGCCAGAGATTCGCAAGTGACTAAGCATAGGCCAGAGATTCGCAAGTGACTAAGCATAGGCCAGAGATTCGCAAGTGACTAAGCATAGGCCAGAGATTCGCAAGTGACTAAGCATAGGCCAGAGATTCGCAAGTGACTAAGCATAGGCCAGAGATTCGCAAGTGACTAAGCATAGGCCAGAGATTCGCAAGTGACTAAGCATAGGCCAGAGATTCGCAAGTGACTAAGCATAGGCCAGAGATTCGCAAGTGACTAAGCATAGGCCAGAGATTCGCAAGTGACTAAGCATAGGCCAGAGATTCGCAAGTGACTAAGCATAGGCCAGAGATTCGCAAGTGACTAAGCATAGGCCAGAGATTCGCAAGTGACTAAGCATAGGCCAGAGATTCGCAAGTGACTAAGCATAGGCCAGAGATTCGCAAGTGACTAAGCATAGGCCAGAGATTCGCAAGTGACTAAGCATAGGCCAGAGATTCGCAAGTGACTAAGCATAGGCCAGAGATTCGCAAGTGACTAAGCATAGGCCAGAGATTCGCAAGTGACTAAGCATAGGCCAGAGATTCGCAAGTGACTAAGCATAGGCCAGAGATTCGCAAGTGACTAAGCATAGGCCAGAGATTCGCAAGTGACTAAGCATAGGCCAGAGATTCGCAAGTGACTAAGCATAGGCCAGAGATTCGCAAGTGACTAAGCATAGGCCAGAGATTCGCAAGTGACTAAGCATAGGCCAGAGATTCGCAAGTGACTAAGCATAGGCCAGAGATTCGCAAGTGACTAAGCATAGGCCAGAGATTCGCAAGTGACTAAGCATAGGCCAGAGATTCGCAAGTGACTAAGCATAGGCCAGAGATTCGCAAGTGACTAAGCATAGGCCAGAGATTCGCAAGTGACTAAGCATAGGCCAGAGATTCGCAAGTGACTAAGCATAGGCCAGAGATTCGCAAGTGACTAAGCATAGGCCAGAGATTCGCAAGTGACTAAGCATAGGCCAGAGATTCGCAAGTGACTAAGCATAGGCCAGAGATTCGCAAGTGACTAAGCATAGGCCAGAGATTCGCAAGTGACTAAGCATAGGCCAGAGATTCGCAAGTGACTAAGCATAGGCCAGAGATTCGCAAGTGACTAAGCATAGGCCAGAGATTCGCAAGTGACTAAGCATAGGCCAGAGATTCGCAAGTGACTAAGCATAGGCCAGAGATTCGCAAGTGACTAAGCATAGGCCAGAGATTCGCAAGTGACTAAGCATAGGCCAGAGATTCGCAAGTGACTAAGCATAGGCCAGAGATTCGCAAGTGACTAAGCATAGGCCAGAGATTCGCAAGTGACTAAGCATAGGCCAGAGATTCGCAAGTGACTAAGCATAGGCCAGAGATTCGCAAGTGACTAAGCATAGGCCAGAGATTCGCAAGTGACTAAGCATAGGCCAGAGATTCGCAAGTGACTAAGCATAGGCCAGAGATTCGCAAGTGACTAAGCATAGGCCAGAGATTCGCAAGTGACTAAGCATAGGCCAGAGATTCGCAAGTGACTAAGCATAGGCCAGAGATTCGCAAGTGACTAAGCATAGGCCAGAGATTCGCAAGTGACTAAGCATAGGCCAGAGATTCGCAAGTGACTAAGCATAGGCCAGAGATTCGCAAGTGACTAAGCATAGGCCAGAGATTCGCAAGTGACTAAGCATAGGCCAGAGATTCGCAAGTGACTAAGCATAGGCCAGAGATTCGCAAGTGACTAAGCATAGGCCAGAGATTCGCAAGTGACTAAGCATAGGCCAGAGATTCGCAAGTGACTAAGCATAGGCCAGAGATTCGCAAGTGACTAAGCATAGGCCAGAGATTCGCAAGTGACTAAGCATAGGCCAGAGATTCGCAAGTGACTAAGCATAGGCCAGAGATTCGCAAGTGACTAAGCATAGGCCAGAGATTCGCAAGTGACTAAGCATAGGCCAGAGATTCGCAAGTGACTAAGCATAGGCCAGAGATTCGCAAGTGACTAAGCATAGGCCAGAGATTCGCAAGTGACTAAGCATAGGCCAGAGATTCGCAAGTGACTAAGCATAGGCCAGAGATTCGCAAGTGACTAAGCATAGGCCAGAGATTCGCAAGTGACTAAGCATAGGCCAGAGATTCGCAAGTGACTAAGCATAGGCCAGAGATTCGCAAGTGACTAAGCATAGGCCAGAGATTCGCAAGTGACTAAGCATAGGCCAGAGATTCGCAAGTGACTAAGCATAGGCCAGAGATTCGCAAGTGACTAAGCATAGGCCAGAGATTCGCAAGTGACTAAGCATAGGCCAGAGATTCGCAAGTGACTAAGCATAGGCCAGAGATTCGCAAGTGACTAAGCATAGGCCAGAGATTCGCAAGTGACTAAGCATAGGCCAGAGATTCGCAAGTGACTAAGCATAGGCCAGAGATTCGCAAGTGACTAAGCATAGGCCAGAGATTCGCAAGTGACTAAGCATAGGCCAGAGATTCGCAAGTGACTAAGCATAGGCCAGAGATTCGCAAGTGACTAAGCATAGGCCAGAGATTCGCAAGTGACTAAGCATAGGCCAGAGATTCGCAAGTGACTAAGCATAGGCCAGAGATTCGCAAGTGACTAAGCATAGGCCAGAGATTCGCAAGTGACTAAGCATAGGCCAGAGATTCGCAAGTGACTAAGCATAGGCCAGAGATTCGCAAGTGACTAAGCATAGGCCAGAGATTCGCAAGTGACTAAGCATAGGCCAGAGATTCGCAAGTGACTAAGCATAGGCCAGAGATTCGCAAGTGACTAAGCATAGGCCAGAGATTCGCAAGTGACTAAGCATAGGCCAGAGATTCGCAAGTGACTAAGCATAGGCCAGAGATTCGCAAGTGACTAAGCATAGGCCAGAGATTCGCAAGTGACTAAGCATAGGCCAGAGATTCGCAAGTGACTAAGCATAGGCCAGAGATTCGCAAGTGACTAAGCATAGGCCAGAGATTCGCAAGTGACTAAGCATAGGCCAGAGATTCGCAAGTGACTAAGCATAGGCCAGAGATTCGCAAGTGACTAAGCATAGGCCAGAGATTCGCAAGTGACTAAGCATAGGCCAGAGATTCGCAAGTGACTAAGCATAGGCCAGAGATTCGCAAGTGACTAAGCATAGGCCAGAGATTCGCAAGTGACTAAGCATAGGCCAGAGATTCGCAAGTGACTAAGCATAGGCCAGAGATTCGCAAGTGACTAAGCATAGGCCAGAGATTCGCAAGTGACTAAGCATAGGCCAGAGATTCGCAAGTGACTAAGCATAGGCCAGAGATTCGCAAGTGACTAAGCATAGGCCAGAGATTCGCAAGTGACTAAGCATAGGCCAGAGATTCGCAAGTGACTAAGCATAGGCCAGAGATTCGCAAGTGACTAAGCATAGGCCAGAGATTCGCAAGTGACTAAGCATAGGCCAGAGATTCGCAAGTGACTAAGCATAGGCCAGAGATTCGCAAGTGACTAAGCATAGGCCAGAGATTCGCAAGTGACTAAGCATAGGCCAGAGATTCGCAAGTGACTAAGCATAGGCCAGAGATTCGCAAGTGACTAAGCATAGGCCAGAGATTCGCAAGTGACTAAGCATAGGCCAGAGATTCGCAAGTGACTAAGCATAGGCCAGAGATTCGCAAGTGACTAAGCATAGGCCAGAGATTCGCAAGTGACTAAGCATAGGCCAGAGATTCGCAAGTGACTAAGCATAGGCCAGAGATTCGCAAGTGACTAAGCATAGGCCAGAGATTCGCAAGTGACTAAGCATAGGCCAGAGATTCGCAAGTGACTAAGCATAGGCCAGAGATTCGCAAGTGACTAAGCATAGGCCAGAGATTCGCAAGTGACTAAGCATAGGCCAGAGATTCGCAAGTGACTAAGCATAGGCCAGAGATTCGCAAGTGACTAAGCATAGGCCAGAGATTCGCAAGTGACTAAGCATAGGCCAGAGATTCGCAAGTGACTAAGCATAGGCCAGAGATTCGCAAGTGACTAAGCATAGGCCAGAGATTCGCAAGTGACTAAGCATAGGCCAGAGATTCGCAAGTGACTAAGCATAGGCCAGAGATTCGCAAGTGACTAAGCATAGGCCAGAGATTCGCAAGTGACTAAGCATAGGCCAGAGATTCGCAAGTGACTAAGCATAGGCCAGAGATTCGCAAGTGACTAAGCATAGGCCAGAGATTCGCAAGTGACTAAGCATAGGCCAGAGATTCGCAAGTGACTAAGCATAGGCCAGAGATTCGCAAGTGACTAAGCATAGGCCAGAGATTCGCAAGTGACTAAGCATAGGCCAGAGATTCGCAAGTGACTAAGCATAGGCCAGAGATTCGCAAGTGACTAAGCATAGGCCAGAGATTCGCAAGTGACTAAGCATAGGCCAGAGATTCGCAAGTGACTAAGCATAGGCCAGAGATTCGCAAGTGACTAAGCATAGGCCAGAGATTCGCAAGTGACTAAGCATAGGCCAGAGATTCGCAAGTGACTAAGCATAGGCCAGAGATTCGCAAGTGACTAAGCATAGGCCAGAGATTCGCAAGTGACTAAGCATAGGCCAGAGATTCGCAAGTGACTAAGCATAGGCCAGAGATTCGCAAGTGACTAAGCATAGGCCAGAGATTCGCAAGTGACTAAGCATAGGCCAGAGATTCGCAAGTGACTAAGCATAGGCCAGAGATTCGCAAGTGACTAAGCATAGGCCAGAGATTCGCAAGTGACTAAGCATAGGCCAGAGATTCGCAAGTGACTAAGCATAGGCCAGAGATTCGCAAGTGACTAAGCATAGGCCAGAGATTCGCAAGTGACTAAGCATAGGCCAGAGATTCGCAAGTGACTAAGCATAGGCCAGAGATTCGCAAGTGACTAAGCATAGGCCAGAGATTCGCAAGTGACTAAGCATAGGCCATGGGTCACAGGAAGAGGGGGGAAGCAGGATTGGAAGGCAAGCAAACAATGGGAGGCCATGCGGCAGAGGAGCATGCCATCCATCCCACTCACCTCGTTCCACCCATCTCAATCCCCTCCATATCCTTCGTGAAACAGCTCCCCTTCTCTACGATGCGCTCCTCTACCGAAACCCACTGTACCGCTTTGCATCCCTCCTTACCGCGTTCCGCCCCTCTCACCTCTCCCCACGGCGCTCACCTCTATCTCCTGCGTCACATCCCCATAGAACACCTCCCTCTTCCTGTGCCGCGCCTGCCTGCCCTCCACCGTCTCCTCCGGAAGAACATACCACCTCACCCTGCACCACCACCCACTCTCTTCCGCCTCCCCCTCTGCCTCCGCTTCCCCCTCCCCTACCTCTTCCCCTTTCTCTCCCCCAACCCCCTCCTCCTTCTCATCCCTCCGGCTACTGCGCTCATTTGATTCGTCCACACGCCAAATCCTCTCAATTCGACCAATCGCAAGCTCCCCATCGAACACTCGCTCCCGCGCCGTTCGCCGCCTCTTCTGCTTCTCCCCCCCCTCCCCCGCCGTCCCCCCTTTCCCCACATTCCCCACCTTCCCCGCTTTCTCCGCCTTTCCCCGTTTCCTTCCGCTCCCCTCTTCCTCCTCTCCTCCAGCACAAGCCGGGCAGAACCAATCGCCTTCCGGAATCTCCGCAAGGGGCGGCTCGAGGCAGCCGAGGTGGAAACCACCAAGGCACCCGTCGCACTCCACCATCACCTCCCCGCCTCCCTCCCCCTCCCCCTCCCCTTCCCCCTCCCCGTCCCCCTCCCCGTCCCCCTCTTCTCCCCCACCAACACCTTTCCCGCAAATCTGGCATTCCTCGTCGCTCGCGGCGGATTCGTCTGATTCCGAACCGTCGGCGGCGGACGAATCCCCGCCGGTGATCTTGACGTAGACGCAATGGCCGACGGCGAATTCCTCGCCGTCTAAGTCGACGCGATCGGCGTAGTGCCGCTTGGAAGGAGCACGACTTCTAGTACGGGGAGCCATGGATCCCCGACTCGACTCGAATTCTGAGACATTCGCGCGGACGAACAGCGCGGCGGCTTATAAGGAGTACGCGGCGATTACGAACAGGCTGAACCAGCAGTGCAACCTGCGTGGCTCAAGTTCAAGGCGGCGCCAGGTGGCGCGATCCCATGGTGGAGGCGGCGAGCGAGATTGTGAAGCGGTTCTGCACGGGAGCCATGAGCTACGGGTCTATCTCCTTGGAGGCTCATCAGAGGCTTGCTATTGCTATGAACACGATTGGAGGAAAGTCGAACACGGGCGAGGGAGGCGAGAACTCGTCCCGTCTGGTTCCGAACCCGGACGGGAGTACCAACATCCTCAAGTCGTCGATTAAGCAGATTGTTAGCGGTCGGTTTGGCGTGTTGGCGTAATACCTGACGAATGCGGATGAGCTGCAGATTGAGATGGCGCAGGGTGCGATGCGAAGCCTGGGGAGGGAGGCGAGCTACTCGGGCACAAGGTGATAGGGGATATTGCTGTGACGCGTAAGGACGTGTGTGAAACTAATTTTGGCACCAAGTTTAGGTTTTTGATTCGAATGTAGCAATTGAACGCTAAGCGAACCTTACTCGATTTTGAGTCATTGCAAAGTTCGAACCGCAGCTGTCGAAAGTTGTAAACACACAATCACACGCGCAGGTGCGAATCTACAAGTTCGAGCCTGTAGGGGGAGAACCGAACCGCGAGTAGGGTGCGTAGGTTACCCAGTATTGGCATCTTGACAGCGCGACACGTCAACGAATCGCGTGCCCCAAAAGTTCACTCTAGAGTTCCACCTCATCTCCCTACCTGTCCCCGAGCAGACCACCAGCTACAAAGGTGTGAGTGTTTTGCATTTCGCCAACTCAGCATTCCGCCATGTCTCTCATTGCGCTGATGCGCTTCCTTGGAATTCTCATTCCACCACGTCATCGTGCCACGCCAACATCCACGTGGCGAGCTTTGCTTGTGGGGGACCGTTTATGGTTTCGGTCGTGCCTCTATTGGTGCACGAATGTGTTGCGAGTGTCGCACACTCCTCGTACGTGCCAGGAACCACACACGTTCACTACAACGTGCAAAATCACGTTTGCTCATACACTCGAGTCTTGTTCACTTTTCGGGGCTCGAGTTAGGTGGGAGGGGTAGTGAAACACCCATTTGGCGAAAGCGTTTGCGAACATTCACGAAATTGGTTACCATCCTAAGTTCGAACCCATTTTCGAACTGCAATTAGTTTCACACACGTCCTAACAGCACACCAGGGGGCAGGTCTTCATCAGCCCGCCTCCCCATCACATCTACTCGATTGAAGACCTTGATAGGAATCGACAAGCTAAGGGCGTGTCCCATGAGTTCGTTTTTAGTTCATTTTAAGGCTGGTAACCCTGTTTTTAGTCGGTAACCCTTCCCTGCATGACATGCGTCTTCAATGACGCACCTGATGAGACGCCTAGGACGTCAAGAGGTTCGTACTACTCCACGTACAAGGTACGTGAGATCACTTCGTACCGGGTCCTCTATTCCGTTACCCCAATCTGAAAATTCCCGCACACTCAGTTGCGCGAAAAATCAGAAATTCGCACAGGGCACCATTAATTCGCACCGTGGAGGGTAACTGCTCGCGGGTCATGTTCGGATTATGATTTTCGTGTGGATGGGGCTATGAGTCCGCGTGGGTCAATTTCGTTTGGCGCTGTGCTGACGCGCTGTGTGTTTTTCACGTCAGAGTGTACACTCTTTGCTTTGTCGAAGTTACGAAAATTTTATGATTTTCCTCCAAATGAACTCATGGGACACGCCCTAAGGGCGTCGTAAGGGCGCGTGTATCTATTTTGAAGTTAAAAAAACTTTTGATGGTTACCTGTTTCGTCAATTTCGCAAGGCCCATTGGCGAAGGCTAGGGATTATACAGCGCACAAAAGTTCGAATGTGAAATGTGAACTTGACCCAAGTCGGCGTTGTGAACATGCGCGTGCACGTTCATGCGAGTGTTTGCGATTTACAGCACGTACGAAGAGCATGTGAAACAAGCGACAGCTTCGCGACGCCGGAAATGTCAAAAGAGTAAGCATAAGCAGGAGCCATAGCTAGGAGAACCCTAGCTAGGCAAGAGAAAGTTTAGGCAAAGAGAGGTTCACTAGCAGCAATGAGGATACATATAGCAAACCCTAGATGGGTTGTACTCGCTATAGAGCACCCCACTACAGGCTAGAGAATAACATTCTGACACACCCCCATAGCCAAAGTGGGGTGTAATCAGTACAATGAGCAAGCAGGTAGAAAGCAGGTTCACAAGTGCAAGCAAAGCTAGAGGCATTCACAAAGGGCAAGTGAGGAGGAGGAGGAACTGTGGAAGGAGAGAAGATGAGAGGCGACGGCTGAAGCTGCAGACACACGGGCAACAGGAGTCAAACTGGCACAGTGGCTACCGGAACAGCGCCCCGGACTACAGGAGTAACTGGCTCCGCGGCTAAGAAGAGCGGCAGACGAGCAACGGACCCACGGGCGACTGGCGCAGCTGGCTACGACTGGGCTACCGGAACAGCGCCCCGGACTACAGGTGCTGCTGACGACAAGACGGCAGCCTCCGCTCAACCTCCCCCGACCGTCCCACGCCCCTCTCACACACCCCCTGCTGACACCCTAGCTCCACTTCCACGGCACCCCCCTTAAACCCTAAACCTCGGCTCCCACACATCCACCCCCCTCAGCGGCAGCTGCAGCAGTGGGAGACGGAGGAGGAGGAGGAGCAGGGGACGGCGCACACACACGGCACCCCCAGAGCTGCCACCCCCACACTCCGCACCCCAAAACCCTAAAAACGGGCGGAACGGGGGAAGGAGCGCGGGGGACGGCGAGGGGGACGGCGCTCGGCCCCCAGAACGCGACCACGGGGCAGAGAGGGGCCGCGCGCGGCTCCCCAGGGCGGCGCGACGGGAAATCGGGGCCGCGGGGGGGTCGCGCGCGGCTCCCCAGGGCGGCACGACGGGAAATCGGGGCCGCGGGGGGTCGCGCGCGGCTCCCCAGGGCGGCACGACGGGAAATCGGGGCCGCGGGGGGTCGCGCGCGGCTCCCCAGGGCGGCACGACGGGAAATCGGGGCCGCGGGGGGTCGCGCGCGGCTCCCCAGGGCGGCACGACGGGAAAACGGGGCCGCGGGGGGTCGCGTGCGGCTCCCCAGGGCGACGGGATCGCGGGGCCGCGGGCGACGGGACCGGAGGGCCGCGGGCGACGGGATCGGGGGGCCGCGGGCGTCCCCCACGGTAGGAAACCGCCGTGCGCCTCGGTGCGCACGGCGGGGAGAAAACCGCCGCACGCCCCGAGCGCGCGGCGGGATGAAAATGTGAAGGTCGCGCGCCACGGGGCGCGCGACACTGAGTAGGGCAGCGGAAGCAGCAGTGGGGCCCACAGGCCAGGAGCGTGAACGCTCTGTTACCATGTCAAAAGAGTAAGCATAAGCAGGAGCCATAGCTAGGAGAACCCTAGCTAGGCAAGAGAAAGTTTAGGCAAAGAGAGGTTCACTAGCAGCAATGAGGATACATATAGCAAACCCTAGATGGGTTGTACTCGCTATAGAGCACCCCACTACAGGCTAGAGAATAACATTCTGACAGGAAATTGCACGACGAAGACAGCCCACGATTAGGGCACTCGTCGGTAGCCACGTGGCAACATCCGTGGCACGTGGACGAATACATGTATCCCAAGTTGCCATGGGGGTTATTTGCACCCAAGTTAGGGCCATTTTCAGGTGCGATCTCTACAGTACAGGAAATGTATTCAGGTGTGATCCCGACGCATATTTCCAAGTCTCTGTTGCGCACTGTACACAAGTGCCGGAATCTGCCTTGGAAAGATACGCCGCTCAAATCTGTACTCGCTGAGGGAAACTAATGCGAAATAAATTCGCTCACACACGCTTCGTTTACCGACGCTACCAGGAAGTGCTAAGACATGCCCCGAAAAACAAAACTAAAAGCTTTAGTGACCCTGGACCCAATTTTGCGAGATCAACCCTAAACACGGGAACCTCCTTGTGTTTAGGGTTGATGCCTCCGTAAGGTTTTCGTGACAAAAAAATAAAACCCAATCGGAACGGAATCGAATTGGGAGGCATCAACCCTAGACACCAGAGGGTTCCCGTGTTTAGGGTTGATCCCTCCCGAAACTGCTTCCAGGTTCTTTAGGGGTTATATTATGTTTTTTCCGGGTAGCCTTAACAGCTTCGGGTAGTTTGGTCTGGCCATGTTGTATGTTTGACTTCCGTCAGAATGTGTCAGAGACGAAAAAAAATCCGTCAGCTTAACAAGATGTGAGTGGCGAGTCTGCACATGGCACTGTTGCGGCACGTGTGTACAGTGCAGTAACAGTGCCGTAACTTATTTGGATCGCACCTGAATACATTTCCTGTAGTGTAGAGATCGCACCTGAAAATGGCCCCCCAAGTTACGCACGATGCGCGGAAGGTGAGTTAGAGCTCTAGGTCCGTATATACAGAGGCACACAATATTGACGTGGCGCGCTATCAAGACGTGATGCGCGGCTAGGCGTGTTTCTTACAAGTTCAAATGTCGGGGTTCGACCTTATATGTGTAATTGCATGTTTACTGTGTTGCAGTCTCGATGTTCAAACTTCGCTCCAAGGAAAGTCGAATTCTTTTCAACTTTAAGCTCAAAATCTATATTCGACTTACACCGTTGCTATAATTGTCTTTCCCGTGAAGCCTAACTTGGTGCCCCCTTTCTCCAACAAAATAACTGTTTGGCTGAGAAAAGAGCTTAGGATCTTTTCAAGGCTAAACTCTGGGTAGAAAAAAATGTAATTGCGGAAGCGTTTGATGACAAGTGTTGAACCACCTTGCGCTAGTATGTGAGGGCAAGATAGATTGATTATAGAAAAGTGATACAAGCTTTTATAAGATTACATGGAATATGAAAGGATGCAATAACCGTTTTACTGTTGCTGTTGCGGTTCGATACAGTGACGACTCGGGCAACTGCTCAATAGCGAGTCAGTTGTTTGTCCTTGCTGTCGCGCTGTATTTGTCGAGTCAAAGGTCGCTGACCTTTTACCTTTGCGTAACCTCTAGCAATTACGTTTTGTCAACATCCTCGGTTGACTCGCCGATGCTTCGTTGTGGTTCGCTTCGTTCACGGTTCAATGTTCAGACACATCAGAAGTGTTAAGTTACTTGTTTCCAACACTCCCCTTCGCTTCTGGAGTGTCGCTGCTGGTGACGTGGCCTTGTCCAGTCAGCAGCATGGAGCATTCGAACTTTTGCTTTCCGAGCTACGGTACTTGGTCAAGTAATCGGCTGCCATCTCGGACGTGGGACGGTAGGACAGCTCGAGTCTGTCGGAACAACAGGCAGAAGTTTAGAACACGAAGA